TTTAGTCTTTATTATGACGAATCAATTACTCAATGACCTAGGCAACTTTTCTGTGTCTGACGCCAAAAAAATGTAATATTGAAGACTGTAAACGCTTCCTTCCTCGTCCCGAAAATAAGTTAATCTTACTTACACAAAATATAAGAAGCATAAAACGGAACATAACCGGATTGGTTTGAAGTTTTGTTGCATAGACTGGATATAAAATGTGATATTATTGCCCTTACAGAATGTTGGCTATCAAACCTCTCATCCCACCTACCGCTCCTAGATGGCTATTCTTTACACAAAACTGAGAAAAACATTAACCAAAATGACGGTTTAGTAATCTATGTTAAAAATATTTCAAAACAACTGTCTCATAGCCTACATTCCAGGATAGTAATTGCTTAATGCTTAATTGCTAAGCCCATTGACTCGGCTACCGATCTAATCAGATCATACAATACCTACCTTACGTCGGCTCTGGTACGTGTCGAATTAGATCAGGTCGGATCAGAAGTACTGCCTTATGAAAAAACTATTTTTTCCTTTAAAACAAAACCAAAGACAATATGCAATAGATAATAGTATCAAAGAGAAAGATATGCTCTTTTATTTTAAACCATAACCCGGCAATGTTTCTTAAAAAAAAAAAAGAAATCACTTTGACTTTGAACTTTCGGCGTTCCACGTGTCGTTTTGATGAAGGTGCTCCGTCTTTTTTATAGAATTTTATATTTGTGTCTGGACTAAAAACGAAAGTATTATACTTTTTTATATTCCTTGTAATATAGTGAACACGTAGATATATAATTTGTGGCATAAAAAGTGAAAAGTAAATTGCCAAAAGTACTTCAAAATCTGGAAGACCCATTTTGGCGGTTGGGTCATAAATGTGTTATTTTTCAAATTCTCATTTATTTTTAGTGTAAAATGTAAGTAAAAATAGTTTTCTTACATATTTCAAATAACTTGACGTTGTATTTATTTCAAATTCACACATAATTATTTTTGAAATATTGTTCTAAATGTCACACAGATAAAATATTATTATTGTTTTTTTTTTTTAATTTTTTAATATTTTAATATTTTGGTATGAGTAACGAATGGAAACATATAAAACATAAAAATATACATATTTCCAAACATTTTCATATAAATTTCTCCAAAAACAAAAGTGTAGAATTCAAATTAGTAGTAATTTTGTCACTAAAATTGAAGTATATGCTACTACTATGCTATACAGGGTAATTTATGTATTTTATTACAATTTCTAGCAAACAAAAATAATTTTATTCGATAGTTTATACATTCAACAAGAAATCCTGTAAATTTTATCCATAAATATTGTCTCAAAGTGAGCAGCAAAATTTGCAATATAGCAAAAAATTTTCTAACTTACAAATTTTCCCGCCATTAAGGTCCCGAGCGAACGGGAGTATAACATGTCGCGCGCTGTCAGAGCCTTTGGGTATCATTCGAATTAATTCCGAAACGATTGTTATTGCAATTTACAGTCCTCCTTCTCAAAATATTGATAGATTTCTAGAGTCCCTTGATATTAACTTTTTTTATAGAAGAGGGGGCAAACGAGCATACAGTTCACCTAATGTTACCAACCCATGCACCACCGCAACACCAAGGGAATTGCGGTTGCGTTGCCGGCCCTTTAGAAAGGAGGAAGCTCTTTTCTTGAAGGTCCCCAAGTCGTATCGGTCCGGAAAAATCGCCGGTGGTAAACTATTCCACAGAGAGGTCGTACGCGGAAGAAAACTCCTAGTGAAACGTACAGTGGTGGACCGCCAAGCATCTAGATGGTATGGATGGTATCGGGAGGTTAGCCGCGTAGTGCGTTTCTGAAATTTGGCGGCTGATATTAATCCGAACAATTCCTCAGAACACTCCCCGTGATAGATGCGATAAAATACGCAAAGAGATGCAACATCTCTTCGCAACGCCAGTAAATCGAGCCGATCGGAAAGCACTCTGTCGTCGACGATTCGAGCCGCTCTGCGTTGGATACGGTCAAGTGGAAAGAGCTGGCACTGGGGAGCCCCAGCCCAGAGATGGGAACAGTATTCCATGTGCAGCCGAACCTGCGCCTTGTAAAGTTGCAGGTGGTGTGCCGGCATGAAATACTGTCCTGCTCGGCTGAGCACGCCAAGCTTTTTTAGAGGCCAATTTGGCCTTCTCTTCCAAGTGACCACGAAACTGCATGTCACTCGATATGTCGACGCTGAGGATTCAGATACTGGTTGAGGCAACAAGGGGAGTGCTTGAAACTGAGGAGATACGACAAAGGGGTTCTTTTTAGCGGTTAACGCGCAAACTTGTGTCTTCTGAGGGTTAAACTGGACTAGATTTAGTCGCCCCCAATCCGAAACTTTGTTCAGCAAAGTCTCAACTTCAGACACAAGTTTGTCCCGGTACTCGGAGACGTTTTCCCAAGAAGTATTGGCACAGCTGGTGTACAGAGCATCACCTGTGCTGTCATCTGCACAACAATGAATGTTGCAAGTTTGGAACATATCATAGATATGCAGAAGAAACAGCGTTGGAGATAGCACGCAGCCTTGTGGAACACCAGCATTAATAGGCTTGTAATCGGAGCTTGCATCGTCTACAACGACTTGGATGCTCCGATCTGTAAGAAAGCTGGTGATCCAATTGCACAATTTCTCGGGAAGCCTAGAGGAAGGGAGCTTTGAAAGAAGCCCTTTGTGCCAAACCCTATCGAAGGCCTTCGCAATGTCCAAACTAACGGCCTGCGGGGGAGGCCCTTGGACTCTACTACCTCCGCCAGTTTATGTGTTAGGTAACCCAGAAGATCACCAGCCGAACGACCGCGACGGAAACCGTACTGGCGGTCACTAATCAGCTGGTGATCCTCAAGGTACCGCATGAGCTGGCTGTTAATAATGGATTCCATTATTCTAGAGAACAACGAGGTGATAGCGATAGGCCTATAGTTGGACGGATCAGAGCTGTTACCTTTTTTAGGGATCGGGTGCACGAGGGCTGTCTTCCATGATTTCGGGACTACGCCGAAGGAGTAGAAGTACCAAAAAAGTAGTAGGAAAAGACGCGTTAAAACCGGTGCCAACTTCGGAGCACACGTCTTCAGCACAATAGGAGGGACGCCATCCGGCCCACTCGACTTGTTGACGTCCAGGCAGAGGAGTGCTCTGCGCACTGAGCGTTGGGTAGACAGGACATCCTGTATGGAGCACTCACTCCGCGGGATGGTCTGCGGTGTGTTGCCCCGTCATCAAGAGTCGAGTTGGACGCAAAGAGAGAGCCCAGCAGATCGGCTTTGTCCTTTGCGGCATGGGCCAGTGAGTCGTCCTCCCTGTGCAGAGATGGGAGAGATGGCTGACGGAAGTTCCCTTGGACAGCCTTGGCGAGAGACCAGAATGCACGTGTTCCAGAAGGAAGACGAACTAGTTTCTCGCCAATTCTGCCGATATCCTCAGAGCACATTTTTTATCTTTGCCTTGACAATGACACTTGAAGGACCTGGAGGCAGAATTGTACTTCTTTTTGAGGGCGCTGGTGTTTGCATCCCGAGACGTCGATGCGCGAGCCCAGGCCTGGTAGCAGTTATGACGTAGTGCAATTTTGCAGCAGCGACCAAACCAAGGCTGGGTTCTGCCTCCGATAGGTACCACAGATGATGGAATAAAAAGTTCCATGCCCTGTAGCACCACTTCGGCGACAGAATCAGCAACAACGCTGAAACCATCCGGCGAGAAGCAAACTCAGGTGTAGGATGTAAAAAACGATCGCATCCCGTCCCAGTTTGCTGACCTATAATGCCAAATCTAGTCTAGTCTAGTCTATTCAGCTTTGCGTCAATCCATACTCACTTATGGCATTACTTATTCGGGTGGTGCTTCTAAAACAATATTGCTCCCACTAGAACGTGATCAGAGAGCAGTTCTAAAGGTAGCCACTTTCCGTCCTTTCATGTTTCCTACACATCAACTTTACTTGGCATGTAGTATACTAACTGTATGTAAACTATCTTGTGTCCTATATTATAAAACCCATAGCGTAAGTGATGGTCTGAAACATAGGCACTCAACCTCGTTCCGGCAGGTAGCTAATATTATAAACTTGAGTTTTCAATTTTTCTGTTGTAGATTCTACATTATTAAGCTACACTTAGTTTTAATTTTTATTATTGCTTGTTATTTTTATAAGACTTATTATTACTTTCTTTAATTGTAATCTTATTTGTTCGTCTATGTAAGCATGTGTTTAAAAATGAAATAAAAATTATTATTATTATTAAATCGCTAGTTGTTTAAAGCGTTTTAGTTATAGAGTCTATCTTGAGCTTTTTGTATGTACTTTCGTCCGATAAAAGATGGCTGAGAAAAGCGCGCGGAGAATCGTGAGGTCCGGTCTGTTGCGTAAGTTGTTCCAACGCTTTAAATTCGTCTTTGGGAAGATTTGGTTTCGAAACCGAACTACGACTTAACACAGATGAAATATCTTGACATATGGCCTCCAAATCCTCCTTATTGATATTATTCTTAAACAGGCAATCCTCAAACTACAGACATTCGTGACTCAATAATGTGAAAACTAATGAATAAAGTTTGATGAAATTTGGCATTATGATTTCTTATATTTACGCGAACACTACACATGGAAAGAAATTATTTATACAATTTTTATTGCGTTTAATTAACTTAATTTTAATTCCCGACGTTTGGGGTGGTTTACAGCACCCATGGTTAAGGGGGGACTGAGATATTTGACTTCCCAATGTCATAGTTAGCCCGGTTACTTTCAGTTATTTAATATTCATTTTTGTTCCGATCTACGTTATTATAGATTTGGCATTATTACAGATAAGAAACCAGAATAGGACATAGACCATATTTTTATATAAAAAAAGATTTAGTCATTACAAATTACATTCTTTGTAATCCATGGTGCAAAAAAAATTCTCATTTTTAATTAAATGTATTATTAGGGTATGTATGTATTATATAAATAAATTTTTGCAGTGCATCAAATACTGTCGATTTGTTCGTCAGTGGTGGGAATGGGCTGGTGCCTGGCCGCATATCAGCGTGCCGTACGGTTTGCCCAGCAAGACAAGTCGAACATGAGGTGGTCCGGTACCATACTACAGACCCTGTGGCATTTCTTAGTAACATGTAAGTGTTGACACTTATGTAATTTTTCCTCGTTTAACAGAACCGTGTCGTGACGGTATAAGAATATTCACCACACTATCATCCCGTGGGTGTCGGAGGGACTCCGGGGGAACAAAACTGCGGTTGTTTACCCATCTGTCATGCGTGGAAACTATGGCAAACACCTCCCTAAGAGACAATTTATGTTGAAAGCCTATTTCTATTGACTTTCTTTTTTTTAACGTAACCTTCACACTGGGATTGTCTTCTGTATCGTGGGGACAGCTTACATACATAAATTTCATTAGTACAAACATCCAGGTCCGGAACGATTATTTGCAGGCCACACAAATACATGTTCCGTGCGGGATTCGAACCCGCGGCCCTCAGTGCAACAACTCGTTGCTAATGCTAAGCCACTGCGTCACGGAGCCGTCGATGTTCGCCGTCGATGTTCAGCAGTCGAATTTATTATATGCTGTAATGATAATAGTAACCGTTATCAAATGTCATTGAATTCTGCTAGTTCCAAGTATTGCATTAAAGTAAACGTTATATGTGATAAAGCCATGCTGGAACTTAGTACGAATAAATCGGCTCGACCGGCGAAAGAACACGGCCTCACAGAATACCAGCGTGAAACAGCAAACTAATGCTGCTGTGCGGTGAGTTTAGAGAACTGGAGATCCTTTTTACTGGAGACGAGGCATTCCATCTTAGGCTCAATTTACACTGCTGCGGGATGGAATGAAAGCAAATTTTTGTAACGAAATTGTACATAGTAAAATGAATCTTATGTAAATCGTGTAACACACAAACTAGATATGAGCCTACGGACTATACGACATCGCCATGGGGCTGTAGAGAAGTTAGTCTAGATTACTAGTCTAGATTTTAGTATAGATAGACCCGCGAATTCCACAGACTTTGCCAACAGTGGCTACGGGGATCCTTGAGAATTCCCAGGAAGACGCGCGACTTCTTTTTTGGCTCATATCTAGTTTGCGCGTTAGACAATTAACATGAGACTCTCTTTACTATGTACAAATCCGCTTCCATTCCGTTCCGCAGCAGTGTAAATTGAGCATTAGTTTTCAGCTGAGACAAATATCATCATGTGGACTGTGTGCTCGTTTTCACAGTTTTACAAATTACCAGTTCAATATTTTTGTGGCGGTTGAAGATGCTGCTGCCCATCTAACATATATAGTCAATTATACGTGACCTTCCTGAGCTTACAGGATGATTGTAAACAGTTTTTTTTTTCACATAAATATTTCCCGCTGGGTTTCTTGCTGATTCTTTCCAGAACAGACATATTTTCCGAACCAGTGGTAAATTAAACATAAAAGGATTATTTATTATCTATATTGAATAAATTAACCTTGTAAGTGGTGCAAGAATATTCACTGCCCCATATCGTCCCGTGGGCGTCGTAAGAGGCGACAGAGGAGACTGAAACAGGAGATAGGCAGCAGCATCTTCATCATAACTGCGGTTGGCAAACCGCATGCCAAGCGTGGCAACTATGGCTAAGTCCATATGAGGCAATCTTTGGGGGAGGCCTATGTTCAGCAGTGGAATTTACATACAGGCTGTATTGGATTAAATTGAATAAGAAGTTTCTATTTTGGGGTTGATTTAGAACTAGAAAATCTTTCTTTTTCAGTAAGCAGAGTGATATCTCTATCAATAATCGCCTACCTGTATCCATACTGTACAGTGCTGGCTTGCGCGATCCACGTCATGATTATGGCAATATGGTTGCAGCTGTTCGACCGGTCGCCATTTTGTGCGCACAACAAAATGGCGGAGATCGCGTTCTCCTTCACCCTCGGGGGGGTTTACCTATTCACTTATATCCTGCCGATTGAGGGTAGGACGAGATATCGCTATACCGTGTACTATACGATATGTTTTTTACAGAATATATGTTGCACTTTCATTTGGTATTATTTTGTGGATGACCCCATGAGGGCGTCAATATATTTCTATCCAGTTTTAGTGTTAAGTGTGGTGCCATATGTTATTGGAGTTTTGTTTATGGTGATTTATTATATGTTTTTCCACCCCAGAGTGAGTGTGAAGGGCGATGATGTAACTGTATCATTTAAAACTAGTGAACCTGAGATCAGGTTATAGCGTTTCAGTTTTAATCTGTTAGAATGTAGGTGTATAAGGGGATATCTGGGCGGTGCTTAGTCCTTACAAACAAATATATTATAATAATAAAGATAATTGATAGAATCAGGCGTTACTTTGCGGAAATCCATTATAATAAAAATATAAATTATTTTGCAACCTTCCGCTAACTAAATACAATGATGTGTCTTACTTGGATTGAAGAGCACCTCCCGCCCTCTCTCAACTGCGTGCACTAACTCCGTCACCACTAGTCCCAGCACCACTACTCCCACTTATCGGTCAGCCAACGTAGATTCTACATCACCTGAGGATGCCTCGTGTAGAGGCGAAACACGTGTCGTATTATCGTCAATGGTGTGTCTTACCTGGAGAGGAGTAGTGGTGCTGGGGCTAGTGGTGACGGGATTAGTGCACGCAATTGAGGGAGGGCGGGAGGTGCTCTTCAATCCAGGTAAGACACATCATTTTATTTAGTTAACGGAAGGTTGCAAAATAAATTTTTTTTAATAATAATAAAGAGTTAAAAATATTTTTTATCTAAACATAGTAAATCTGTAGAAAAGTCGTACATATCTGTAATTTTAATATTTTCCCGGACAAAACAAGTCCGGGGGATTAAATAAAGAATACTGAAGCCAAGTTAGAGGTTTATGGAATTTTTGTCCGTTGTATATCTTCCTATATTTTTTATAAGTAGTCAGTGACCCCGGGCACTTATCTGTATCCGATAACGGAACTTCAAAAAAAATAGTTTAAGTATTTTCCTTCCTCTCGATATCAACTTTCTCTTATATATGACAGTGTTTAATAAATACCTATTTTAAAAATAATACCTCACTAGAGTTAAATATTTTTACGATACAATCTATATTTTTATTTATTTTTATCTTAAGAAACCCCTCACTCGGATTTTACTGTATGGTAGAGGCAGTTTACATACATAAATTGCATAAAGACAAACATCTCGACCCGGGACAATTATTTGTTGGCCCTACAAATGCTTGTTCCATGCGGGATCGGAACCAGCGACCTCGGGCACCGCAACTCATTGCTAAGACGCTGCACCACAGAGCCGTTCACTCCTATCTAAACTCATCAATGTCTGTGTTTTGTTTTTTCCATAAATTAGTTATTAATTTTAAAACTTTCTATGGCTGAACAAAAGAAAACCATATAGACATCGTTACTATTATTTTTATTTAGTCCTTAAAAATTTAATTGAACCAATATGGAGGACAAATTAAAAAAATTTTTTGTTCAACCTTCTTGCAGCCCGGATATCCTCTTAATGTACTGACGTACTTAATAATTTAATTTAATTAAGGTTTTGAATCTCAAGCATTCCCATTTTATTAAATTACATTTAATAACACTTTATTCCGTATTATTATATTTTAATTTAATTTATGTGATGTAAAGAAGGCGAGGGAGGTATGTCAGGATCGTGCCAAATGGAAGTCCGTAGTCTCTGCCTACCCTCTACCTCTGGGTGTCAGGCGTGAGTGTTTATGTATACGTATGTGTATAATTTAATTTAAGAACTGTTAGGTTTGGAAACTACGTTAAGCACAGGTGCGATCATTAAAGACAAAGCTAAAACTTTTAATTCTATTGACATTTGCTTGTGGTTCTTATAAACGTCAACATCTACACCGGTTCAGAAATCACGTAAGGGCCAACGTCACGTCAACGAGAAGGAGATTATTTCTGGTCGAGATCAAGAGACGTTCAGTCAGTTTGTTGTAGTTACCGTGCATGGTAGTGAATAGAAATAAAATAAATCAGGGGGAATGGTTGCGTTCAACCGGCGACAATTTCTTTTTCTGCTTTTGTACGTTCAAAGGCGTAGGCGATGCAAAGAATTTAGCATTCATCCGATAAGACGTGAAAGTCATAGGTGCGTTTTGAGTTGCGGCGGCATGACGAGAATTTTTTTAACTTTTTTGTTAATATGAGGGGCAAAAGAGCATGTGGTTCACCTGATGGTAAGTGACTACCGCCACCCATGAACCAGGGGGATTGCAGATGCGCTGCGGGTCTTTTAAAAAAGAGTAGGCTCTATTCTAGAGGGTTACTTAGTCGTATCGATCCGGAAAAATCTCTGGTGGTAGTCGATTCCACAAGGACGTTGTGTGAGGAAGAAAACTTCTTTTAAATGGCACAGTTGTGGACCATCCGTCATCCAGATGGTATGGATGGTTTCGCGAATTTTGTCGCGATGTGCGATGATCAAATTGTGCGGCTGGAATTAGTCCGAACATTTCCTCTGAGTACTCCCCATGGTATGTAGAATAGAATACGCAAAGAGATGCAAAATCTCTTCGCAGCACCAGTGAGTCAGGCAAATCTAAAGGAGCTCGGTTGCCGACGATTCGAATCGTTCTGCCCTGGATGCAATCAAATAGAAAGAGCTGGAACTGGGGAGCCATGGCCGAGAGATGGGAACAGTGTGCCATGTGAGGCCGAACCTGCGACTTGTAACGTTGCAAGCGGTGTGCCGGCTTGAAATACTGTCCTCTGCTTAGCACGCCAAGCTTTTTAATGGCCAATTTGGCTTTCTCTTCCAAGTGACCACGAAACTGCACGTTAGTCGATATGTCGACGCTGAGGATTCCGATACTGGCTGAAACAACAAGTAGAGTGCCCTGAAACTGAGGAGATACGACAAAGGGTTTCTTTTTTGTACTAACAACTATTGTACGTAGGATGTCCACGACTAAGTTTCCTTGAAAACAAATAACCGGTGCGATGCGACGTCACGGCGCCGGCGTGGACGGACAAGTTTAAACGTGTTTTGTATTGGCGGTACATCGGACCGTCACAATGTCGGGCTGAGTTCTAGCTGTCTCGCCGATCTACTCTAAAGCTGGCCGCATTCACACGTTTTCCTTATGCGATTTCCTAATGCGGAATTTCGATTTGGAATTCCGTGAGACTAGCGCAAACGTTCGTTTTTCTTCATTCGGAATGTATACACGTCAGCATAGATAGTGATAGCGTGGTGAACGCACGACGATGGAGGACGACGATTTATTAGCAATTGCATTTCTGTTGACAATAAAGAAGAAAAAGAAACGTCGGTATTGGGTACATCCATTGAATACTCGGAGAATCTACGAGAGTCCGTTTTATCTGAAGAGAGCTAAGTTACGAGTACACCCAGATAAATTCTTTGATTTCTATAGGATGTCAATAAATTCTTTTGATGAACTTCATAATGCCATACGTGATAAATTAATAAGCAAAATACCTGCATGAGATTATCTTTGGATACAGAAGAAAAACTAACCATAATGAAAAAAAATGAGGTAAGTTCTCTTTATTTTTACATCTATATTTATAAAAATAACAAATCAACTATCTTGGTTAAACTTTAGGTATTTGCCAATATTATCTTCCTGTTCTTGTCCTTGAGATTGTAGAACTAAAAAAGTTGCAGCTTCGGTATCCTCGGCATGTTGAAGATTAGGTGATGTGTAGTGATGACGTGGTGGTTGAAGCGGTGGCAGATGTGTAATAGAGTTAATAACCACTCTGGAATTGTTTGGGGCAGATTGATAATTAGTGGTTTTATTTTGCGAAGAAGATGAACTAAAGATTGGCAATGGAGATTGCGTTTTATATAACATATTAGGTGAAGTTTCTGGTACAGGAATATATGAAAAAGAGGGGGAATAACCACGGCTTGATGCCGGCGTTACTGAACGGTGACTGAAGTTATCATAACTCAGTGAAGAAGATGGAGATGAATTGTACTCAGTATTGATTTTTTTTTACCAACTGCAACATTCCCAATTTAAAATCAATTTTTTGATTTTCATTCATATGTTTCATATGTGTTCTAAAGCTCAATAAAAATTTCATGTCGTCGTCTTCTACTTCTTGTTGTTTCTGTTTGGCTTTCTGTTGATTTTGATGTAGGATACTGAGTATTTGTGAGGGGATATCTTTTTTGTTTCGTTTTAAACTACTTGCAGTTGATACAGGTGATGGAGGTTGTAATATATTTGTACGGTTAGTATCTATTTGTTCCACGATGTGTTCTTCTTGCGTTTCGGATTCTTGTGAACTATTATTGTGTAAATCATCGGATTGATAGTTTCCTTCGGTATTTCTTTTATCGAATACCGGTATAAGAAAATACAACAGGTCTGCATAAACAAATTTTTTTTTACATTTTTAGCGGCACTGCCTGTAGGAGCGCTTTTATTTTTTTGAAAGTCTCTTCGAAAGTAGTCTCTCATGTGTGTCCATTTTTTCTTTGATATTATTTTCATATTAATTACATTTCAAGTGCTGAGGCACCTGAAATGTAATTAATATTATTTTATATCTTTTTTTCAGATTCCAGGCAACTGGTAAAAATTTTGAAAAGTTACACTTTGAATATTTGATGGGGAGCAGGACCGTATCAGCCGTAGTTAAAGAAACCTGTACAGCAATATGGGAAGTTTTTCAACCTTTGGAATTGAAGCCACCATCTTCAAAAGAACGTTGGCTAGAAATTGCTGAAAATTATTATAGAAGAACCAATTTCCCTAATTGCGTAGGTTCAGCGGATGGGAAACATATTCGTTTGATTTCTCCTCTGCATAGTGGATCTGCCTTTTATAACTATAAACATTTCTACTCTGTTGTACTATTAGCAGTGGTAGATTCTGACTACCGTTTTATAGCTGTAGATGTCGGTGCTTATGGCAGAGACAGCGATAGTAATATTTTTAACAACTGGAATTTTGGAAAAAAGTTAATTCAAAATCGCCTTAATATGCCTGAAGCAAAACCTCTGCCGAATACCAATGACACACGTCTACCTTTTGTGTTTCTTGGCGATGAAGCGTTTCCACTGAATAACAATTTTATGAAACCATATCCGAGAAGTAATCTCAATACCCAACGCAGAATCTTTAACTACCGCCTCAGCAGATCACGACGTGTAGTGGAATGTGCCTTCGGTATTCTCTCGAATAAATGGAAAATTTTTCACACTAGCATGACGATTCCACCAGAATTTGCAGTATTAGTAACTAAGGCTGCGTGTGTGTTACATAATTTTGTACGCAGACGAGACGGCTATCGATTAGAAGATACACTGACACATTACTTCGAAGATATACCTTTCCGTAGTCCAAAACACAGATCGACAAACCGAGTTCGAAACATAAGAGACAATTTTGCTGAGTACTTTATGACACCGGCAGGGGAAATATCGTACCAACATAACGAGAGAATTAATAATTTACAAGAATAAATGTGGGCACTATTGTATTAAAAAGTATATAGAAAATATCTTACCTTTGTTTTCTTTGTCCACTTTAGTACACGTGCCCCAATCCTTTATAACCTCTTTAAATACATTCTCCCAGGCCAAATCTTTGACATCTCTGTTGTGATAGTCGTTGTCATGAATATTCCACAGGTAGGGGTATTTTTCAACAGCCAATATTAATTTTTCTGCCCCCATTATCGTGTTGCGATTCTATGCGTAACACATACAAAGAATACGTCCGATGCGCGCGCCGCGGGCGCGATACTGAATAGAAATTTCCGAACGTGTGCGCCGGCACAAACAAAATGTATGCAAGCGCTGCGTTCCGCATGACGTCATTAGTTTTTTTCCCGTAGGTTTCTCCGAACGCGCCGGCTTGCATTCAAAACGTACGTTCCGAATTTGTTCCGTACGGAAAAAAAGCGAACATGTGCGTCAGTTAATATATTTTCTACTGATTCCATGCATTCGGATGTCCAAATGCGGAAAACGAATTCGGAAATCGAATACGTAAAACGTGTGTATGCGGCCAGCATAAACTTCGAATGACCGGCTTACGGTGGACAGGCGACCAGTGTTGCCAACTCTACGGACTTTCCCCTAGATCTACGGAATTTTGCCGTTGTCTATGGAACTACGAAATTTGATTACGTCTACGGAAAACTTAACAAGGAAAACATTTTATCATGAATGTGAACTTAACCGACAACCGAAAATTTTAACAACCGAAATCTCGGGGGGAAAATTTAATATGACATATGATACCGCCATTATGCTGTCTTACTATGAGAATTATATCGGCTTTACAGGTCAATGTAGTACTTAAAATAACATGTAGATGGTGCTGTTAGAGAAGTATTTGTCCATTTTAAATCAAGGCGCGTTAACTACTTCTGTCATTTTTAGGCCAGTATTCATGTAGCCAACCATGTCATCATCTTTATATGTAAGACAATGGCATTAGCTTAATTTTAATTTAAGATAATTTTTGTTTACTTGACTAAATGTTTTTTTACATGTCGGAAAGAATTTCTCCGAAAAAATGATTTAATATATGACAGAAACAAAAATTTTTGATTGTCTTCAAAAGTCTGGATATCTACGGGTTTTGAAATTGCGTCTACGGAATTGTTTATAGCAATCTACGGATTTGAAAAAATTCTAGTTGGCAACACTGCAAGTGGTTATTGTAAATGAAGCTATGCGTCGCTACCTTGGCGCAGTCATCTCGTTCTCGTTGTGGATTTTTGTCCCGGTGATGGCGGCGGTGGACAATTTTTTTTAATGCTATGTTAAGATTTCATTTACAGATTTCAAATATTCATTGATATAATTAATATTTGAAATCTGTACATGAATATATTATAGTGAATATTATACATATATTAATATTTTTAAAAATACCAACTTTTCGTAATATATATGCTGATTTAGAATTGTTTACACACCTCATTGTCCCCGATAATATTGATCTTTTTATACTGAGGCTTTTTGAATAGAATTTAAATGACAAGTTTTTTGTAAATTTTGTCAGATTATTGCATTATATTTTAAGACTTAATACAATATATTTTAACCATCTTCAAAACAAGTAATGTTTTCAATTCGACTGTAGGATTTTTTGTTAAGGTTACGTGATACTTTCGTCAATTATTAACAGGTTTTATAGATGTTTTTAAATTAAATAGGTTAAATTCAGGGGTGTTTCTATATTAATTTTGAGAATAAATTTCACCCGTAAGGTTAGAAAAATAGGATTAGAAGTTTTAATGTAACTATTTAGACGATATATAAAATTGTGATATTCCTTAACCCATTCAAAAGGGTAAAAATTTACTTTTGATAAAAAGAAAAGCACGGAAAGTTTCACATTATTTCATTTTACATTTTTATTACATTCCCTTAGAAAAAAATACCAAGGGCGGAGTTAATGCCTTAAGCTATTATCTACCAGTCAACTCATGGAGTGGTGAGATTCGACTTAGGTGTAGGAATTAAAAGTAATTAAAACAAAGGAGACAAAAAAAAAATAGGAACTAAAATAAATACACATTATATGTAACAAAATATATTGTGATGTACATATTATCAGTACATACATAGTATATCAGAAGAATGAAGTACATATATCAATTTTAGAATGTATCGAATTTCTTTGTTAAATTCACTCATATTGGCGGACAAATAAACAATTTCAAAATGGCGGGAAAATGTTTTTACTTTTTTTTAAGTTTATGTGAATTAATATTAAAACCAGCCAGATATAAACAGTACAACCAAAGATATTTTTCTTCAGTTTTATACAAACAAAATAAGGACAATTTTTCCCCGACCATATACATAAATACAAAATTAATACATAGGTGTAAATACGTAATACTATTAAACAGTATTGTAATCCTAATGATTTCTCAGTAAATACTTGCAACCAACTTTTTTTTCGTTACTGTAAATTTTAAATGAATATTATGCCTCTACCCAGACACCTTTGATTTAATGAATTATATTGTAAAACATGCATTTACTAACACCATTACTTAATATATTATAACTAATTTATCGTATTTGATTTGACCTAAGTTTGTAGTTTTAGTTCTTGTCAACGCACATAGCCACAGGTAGACTGAGATCTTAAACTTCACAATTTCTCAGTTGTTCTAGGCTATCTAGATTTTAATTTACCAAATACATAATCGAAAGCAAAAATATTTTAAGCAAGGTATTTTAGTTCTGTTCTCAATAGTTTGCCGATTTTGGAAACAAAAATAAGTTGGTATGCTTACCGCTTAAAAATGAGAATATCCGCAGTAGAACCACAGTAACCGACAAAGTGGAACGGATTATTAAGCTGAAGTGGCAATAGGCCGGCCATTGGGAAGAAAGATTCTCGTGTGTCAACCTCGTACCGGTAAGCGATGTGCACGGCGGCCCCCCACTAGATGGAGCGACGACCTGGTAAGACATGGTCGATGGATGCAGGTGGCACAGGACCGTGCTTTGTGGCATTCCTTGGGGGAGGCCTATGTTCAGCAGTGGACTTGTATGATGATGATGCTAGCCCTCGCTCGTTTTTTAGGGCGTGCTCTTTGTCTCTGAGCGACTATGGCCCACCCATGTATTATTGAATCATAGAAAAAAAACGTTGTCTGTGAAAAATACCAGTCTAAATAGCAGTGGTAAAAATTATCATTATTAATGAAATTATATTAGCAATAAAATTTCCATAATGAGTTAATATAATAATTATAATGAGTAACAAGCCATGTTAAATATATAAAACTAAAAGATAAGACTGTTTTTTTACTTTAATACTATTTTACAAAATGTATTAATGTAATTAGATTTATAATAAATACCAATTTTGTGATGTTGAATCTCCAACGAAAATTTTTCTAAAATGTATATTTATATGTAGCATTATTTTTAATAAAATATTTAATATTATTTTGACTTTTAATTCTACTGTGGTGATTTTCAAACGGTATGTTTGTGGCAATCGTGTGTGCGCGCGCGCCGTGTGTGTGTGTGTGTGTGTGAGTGAGTCGTTTTTGTCTGATGTCTTTTCTGAATTGTCTCCCAATAAGGAAGCAAATTTGAAGACGTATTCACGTCAAAAAGAAAAAACGTGGTATTAAAAAAAATTATATAAGTTTTTTAAAAATTCACTTGTTTTCAGACTCAGGTTCATATATTATGTTAGCATAATTACAATTTTTCTTACATAGGTACTATGTTAGTAAAAACTGAAAATCAAACAATACACAGAGACATGAAACTTCCGGCTTATCGGCTTATGGAACTCATAGAGTATCAGGTTGGAACTCTCGGCTTCCTAATAGACAATACTTTTGTCTTTGTATCAGCAAACATACTTCATGTACTGCAATAGCAAGGGAGTCCCAACAAGGCACCGAATGAGTTATTGCATTTCGTACGACATGTATGCTTTTTGAGTGAAGTTGGTTTAAAGGCTGCTCTTGTGAAACGTTTCACAGTAGGCTTTGAATAACATAATTTTGGCTGCAGCTGTGTAACGAGCAAACCAAAGAACTAATCTATTAGAGACAATGCTCTGCGCACTCTTTATCTCGCT